AGGAAATTTCTACTAATATGGAAAAAAAAAAAAAAAAACACACACACACACACACACACACACACACACACACACACACACACACACACTGAATGGGGGGAGGGATAGCTCAGTGGTTTGAGCACTGGCCTGCTAAACCAAGGGTTGTGAGCTCAATCCTTGAGGGGGGCCACTTAGGGATTTGGGTCAAAAATCAATAGTTGGTCCTGCTAGTGAAGGCAGGGGGGCTGGACTCAATGACTTTTGGGGGTCCCTTCCAGTTCTAGGAGATATCTCCATTTAAAAAAAAACCCACAGTCTAGACACTGAAAAAAAAATCACCATTTAATTACAATATAGTCGGTAAATTTCTCTTTCTCCAGTATGGATAGTTGGTGCACATGCTGATGTTTCCTTCAGCTAAGAATTACAGAACTTTGGGGGAGGTGGGCTTAAGGATAAAAAACACCTTATAATAGACAGAGAAAAGATAATATCGCTAGGTAAGCATATTTAAAAGGATTCAAATTGGTTGCACTTAGTCATACTTATATTGATAGTGCTAATTTTATTTTAGAAGTGGTGAATTTCATTGTGTTCTATCATTTGTCTATCAATGGCAATGGGCTCTCACAACCATAGGTGTAGTTTGACTTCTATATTGGGAAGGGGCAGCGCCAGTAAGGACAATGGGGGGAGGAGAGGGACAAATTCCATGCCTGCCCAAGGCTTGCAGTTTGGGGGGGGCAGTGCCCCCCGTCTCCTCCAAATTATGCCCATGCTCAAAAACCCACACTTATCAACAAACTTTTTTTTCACTAGTGTTTTCCACAGTGAAATTCAATCCTTTATTTTACCACTTTGCCAGCGCTAACTAAATTAATAATAGCAAGACTATCACCGCTAACGGACAGCCTACTACACTACATAGAATAATATAACTGTGAATTGCAATCTTACCGGACATCAGCTTGGATACTTGATGGCATCAGGCAATCCCAGTCATATCAAGTAAGCAAGAGCTGCAAACCATTGAATCTTTGGTGTTTGTTGTGCTGAGTTACAAAACTCTGGAAGCTTTGAAGGATGTTGGTGCAAGTTTAAGCAGCCCCCTCCCCCCCCCCCCACACACAAACACCCTGTGAAGTCTGAGGGACTAACTAATTCTGCAACAGACATCTCTCAGCCCAGATAGTTCACCCCTGTGACCTGCACTCCTGGTTGCCAAGGGCTTTGCAACGTGAAGCAGGGAAATAAGGATCAGTCTGTTTAGTGGATACTATGTATCCTTTAATAGACAAGGTAACATTTCGTGTTAGTTTAGAATATTGTTTTGTACTGTACTTTCTTGGATGGCAAAGGAAAGACAAGTAAAACTTTAAAAAATGCTATGTTCTTTAAATTCTGTATTTAGCAACCTCTGTTGTATATAGTGTTTGATAATAAAGTATTAATTTGATTCTTATGTCTTTTGTAAGTGAGAACAATAGACTTTCAGGATATTAAAAACATGCATTGATTATAAGACAGAGCTTTGAAGCATCAACTGTAATCATGGCTGAGAACTGAGTTATAAGGGGCCATGACACTGCATCATACAGGACTCATCTGTGAAAACTGTTCACCTGATCTCAAGACTTCACAATGTCAAGACCTGGAACAACATGACTTTTGATGATCAATGTTTTGTCCTCAGTGTTTAAAGGTCTGATGTTACAGCGTGTGGTTTTTTGTGTTCGTTTTTTTGTTTTGTTTGGGTTTTTTAACATGTTGGTTTCTAAAAGGCTTTGGGGATTGAACAACTCTTCTATTCCTTTGTTTTCTTTATCTTTGTTGTTTTCTGTTTTCCTTCCTCTCCCTTCATGGATAGTTTTTTTTCCCCCAGAGGGATCTTGCCAGTATCATGTGTGACATGTGCATGGACTTGATTCCAAAACAACAAGCAACAGACTTCGGAGGGTCAAACGTGGATTATTTCCTTTCCTGTATATTTGTGGAAGGAAAGGGATTGTATTTGTACCTGTTGATTTTTCCTAGAAACTGAACTTTATCTATTGCCTCAAGAGAGCAAGTGTTCTTTCAGTTTCAGAAAATCAGAAAATAATTTAACTTTTCCCCTCCATTCATCCATCCACTCAGATTTGTGCTCACCAGTTTTACTTTACAACTCCTCACTTTACTCCCCTCCCCCTCCTTTTAATTTGGAGCAGTGAATGGGCAGATCTGTTTCTGGTTTGGCATCACTGAGTTTTTCCCATGCATTCGCCCCTGAGCTTCTCGGATGTGAGACAAATCTCCTTACAATAGGCTTGCTGCCATTGTCTGTACAGTTTAATAGATGCTGGCATGTTGGAGGTTACCCATGAGTCTGCAAAATCCGCTTTCCATGCTTACTCTTGACACCCCATTGAAGCCACTCATTGTGTGTGCATCTGGGTATGAAAGTCCAGCTCAGTGTGGTCCTGTGCTTGTACTGCCCTGCTTTGCAGTTCCTTTGCACTTATTCATTGAGTGCTGTTTTTGAAATGCTTACATTATATGAACTTAAAAGAAAATGTTAAAAAAAACCCCATAAGATCTGTATTTGTATATACACGTGTCCGTACAATTATACCTAAATAAAAATTAAAGATTTTCATCATTTTAATTGGTTCTCTTAGGCTACATTTTTGTTCACTGAATGATGCCTTTATTTCAGGGGCTTTCGTCTTACATATTTGTGGGCAAAGGAAGGCAGCAAGGAGTATAATAGGGAAAGGCTATGGAATGTGAGGAAAGCCATGTGTGCAATGACAAACTGCCTGGAACTGTACCCCCCAACATCCTGGCTGGTGTACTAAACTCTGGCAGCCATGAGGTTTTTCACCCCAATGTGTGTTTATAGCCGTTCAGAGTACTTGGGAAAGTAACGAATTGTGTCCTCCAAGTGCTGGAATATTCTTACCTGCTTTATATTTAGGGCCCTACCAAATCCATGGTCCATTGTGGTCAATTTCACAGTCATAGGATTTTAAAAATCATAAATTTCATGATTTCAGCTATTTAAATATGAAATTTCACAGTGTTGTATCTATAGGGATCCTGACCCACCTCTGAAGGCAGCAGTGCAGAAATAAGGGTGACATGGTATGGTATTGCCACCCTTACTTCTGCGCTGCTGCCGGTGGGATGCTGCCTTCAGAGCTGGGTGCCTGGCCAGCAGCCGCTGCTTTCTGGCCACCCAGCTCTGAAAACAGCACAGATGTAAAGGTGGCAATATCATGACCCCCATACAATAACCTTGCAACCCCCCAGAACCCTCTTTTGAGTCAGGACTCGCATTTCAAGAAACGCTGGTCTTCCCCGTGAAATCTGTATAGTATACAAAAGACCAGATTTCACAATCTGTGAGATGTTTTTCACGGACATGAATTTGGTAGGGCCCTATTTATATTGTTGCTTTTGCCCCATGCTGGACCTTTTTAATAGCCTTCTTTATGGCCTTGCTAAGATGGTCACAAGTTCTGAGCCAAGTATTCTGCTTACAGAGGATCAGAGCAGGTGCAAGGGACGTACAAACGGCAGTTGCACATGGCGCCCCTTTACCCATGATGCCCCTCTGACTTACAAAGAGATGGTGGGGGGATTATTGACGACTTTAAAATAAATGTTATTTTAAAAAAAAAGGAGTCAGAGCTGTCGGAGCCTCCTGGGATGTGGGGAGAGTTTGAGCAGTGGTGCCTCCTCATAGGATGCAGGGGAAGTGAAATGATGAATTGCTTCTTTCCCCCAGCCATTCTAGCAGTGCCTCTAAAAATATGTAAGACTGGATTGGCTAAGATTTGTACTCAGCTCTGAAACTGATTTCATGGTACCTATTCTGGGACCACATGATAGGTACAGCATCTTAACCTGAGAAATTAGGTCATGTGGGAAGTGGGGGATACATACTGAAACCTCTAATATACACACTATGCATTTCAAAACTCAGCTTTAATTACACCATGTTAGCATGAAACTCATTGAAAGCTTTTTATTACATGCAATTAGTTGACAGGGCAGCAAGTACTAATTTGTAACATACTGTAACCTCTTTTACAAATGAGGAATGACAGCTTCGTGGGAAGAGGAGCGGTGTATGCAAGTGCTTAGTCCAAAGAACTGGTGCACTGGACGTTTGCCCGTGGAAGTGTGATCTTACAACCAGGGCAGGATTATAAGTGACACATGTTCAGTATGTCTTAACATAATAGCCATGTCTGACACAGCTAATAGTCTTGGCTCAGAAGTCACTCTGCATTTGCTGAGAATGGCCTTTGATTTCATTTCTAGGCCCTGCTTTACAAGGGATGTCTCCGCATTATTTTCCCCAAGAATAATTTTATTCCCAGAATACCAGTGTGGGCATTACTGATAATATTCTGATACTCCTCACATCACTCTGATACAGCAAACTGGTGGTGCAGTTTGCTGTACATTACACAAAACATGGGTTATTTTGTTTCATTTAGATACACGCCAACCAAATAGGGTGGTAGGGTTTTTTTGTGCAGATTTTGTG